GGGGTGTCACACCTGGAAGCTGCCTTCGAAAAGGTGGTCAGTGCTGGGGGCCACGGGCCTGTCCACGAAGCCTGGTGAGGAGGAAGGCTTAAGTGGAACTTCGGCACACGTGCGATGTCCTGGTAGGCTCACGACAGTGTCGTTTGTAGTAGCTCTTCTGTTCATTTGACAGCACTTCTGTGCCATTTTAAATGGGTCATCAGGCTTTCAATTAAAAAAAAAACCATAAAAACCAAAGAGACGATGTGTGCAGATAGCTCAGATGCTAGAAACATTAAGAAAACACACGTGACATCCTGCTCTGTGGACTTAACTCCTGAAAACTTAAATGTTTAGTCATGAATGCTCTTTTTTGGGCTTTGTACTGTCTTTTTTTTTTTTTGTCCTTACCTTTGGTCTTTTTTTACTTTTTTTTTCCTTAGTCTCCAAGCTGACTTCTCTTGGTCAGTTGGAAATGACCTGGAGAAGCAGAATTCACTTCCATCCACTTCTTGTGAGAGTCCTTTACAAATCTAGACTAAGGTACTACGGGAAACCAGAGAAAAAGCTGGATATGCCTTATCAGGTAAAGAAGGATAAATAAATAGGTTAATGCTCTAATACCTGTAGGATACTTGGCAATCATTATTCCCAAATAGTTAGCACATGAAGTTAAGTTTTATGTTGTAGCTACTATATATTAAAAATGCTACCTTTGCAAAAATGCTGAGCTCTTAGAGTGGGAAATGGTGAATTTAGCGATTGTACAAACTTTGGTGGATGTGTTTCAGTTACTATAATTCAGTTGAGCTTTTTGTGAAGAAAAAAAATATTTGGAGTTGTTAGTAACATAACAGCCTAAATGTTTCTGGTCTCTGTGCTGTGGAAGTTAGAAATAGTATGTCTTGTCAAAAAAGAAACAACAAAAAAGGCAAACATTATAACAATTTGTATCCCCTAATTCTCTCACCCAGTGACTTCCAGATTGCTTGACTGTAAAATTCTTGATGATTTTTCCTAATATGTTTTACTTGTGATATTTTTGTATAGGGCCTCTTGGAAAGGGAGATAGGAGGTGTGGTGGGTTGGTCCCAGCCAGCATCTAAGCACGCACCTGCTGGTCTTCGCTACCCCCAGGTGCTGGGGAAGAGAATTGGAAGAGCAAAGGCAAGGAAAAACCCATGGGTTGAGATAAAGACTTAGTCTTAAACCTTAGAGTGAAACTGGCATCACCTACCATTACGGAGCACGGGAAAGATAAGACTTTGGGCTGGGGTAGTAGTGGCAGAATTCTTTTGTGGAAATCTTCTGGTATTCAGTACAAATTTTCGAACATACTCTGTTTGTAATCATCAGTGAAATTGTTCATGAGTTGAGTAGCTGATGCAAAATAGATACATACCAGAATGATGATAAATAAAAGGTGAATGTATTTTGTCTCTTTTCTCTCTGTTTTCTTTTAGGCTTACTTTGAAGTTGCTGATAGTTCAGGCATGATGTCAATGGTTTTGTGGAATTCATTATGTCCTGAATGGTATAACAGTATGAAGGTTGGCACGGTACTTCTTCTTGAACAGTATGCTGTCAAAACCAGTTACCCATATAAAACACAGCCAACCCCAGGGGATTCACAGATGAAGAGATTTGCTACAATTGGTTAAGTATTGCAGAAACCTGTTTTGATTCAGTGAAATAAAGCTGTAAAAAGGTAGCTCTTCACAGAAAGAAAATAGAAAGTGAATCGTTGATGAGACTAATTGATGTCATATATCCTTAAATATTAGCTCTGACAGGTGTCATAGCATCCAGGTTCTTATTGTTCCCTGTTCATATTTGGATTATGTCTACAAAGTTTATTGCCACAATTCGTTCAAACCTTTATTTTAAAAAAGAAATAAATAAAAATCTGATTTCAGGTATTGGGGTCATAAAGACAGGCCCCTGGTACTGAATTTTAATCTGAATCTACTTCCTGAGTAATAATGCTGGTATTGTTTGTGCACTGCTCACGCTTTGTTCCAGGTCACTGAAGCACATGGTCACCTCATCTGACTAGATTTTAGTGTATGTGGTTAAGGCCCAGACTATCTGCAAAGCTCCACTGCATAAAAAGTTGCATCGATGACTGTTTTCTGTGCTGAAACAGCAGCACCGTGGGCGTGTGTATATGGAGAGTATTCCTTGGCTATGAGGAAGTATTTTCTTCCTTGCAGTTGTTTAGTGTGACACATACTCAAAGGAGCTGTGCTACCGAAGTACAAGTGCTGCAATGTAACATTAATAGCCTTTCAAACTGGATTTAGTCAACTTTTTTTTTCTTCTACTTTGCTGAACATGAGTTCTTTCCCCTTTCGCACTTTTATGCTCAGAACAAAGTGACAGCCAACATGCAGAAAATTCAGATAACTTCCTTGAAACAAGCAAGTATGTGCGCTACTGAAGGATGGTGTATGTATAAGTTATTAACAATGGCAGCCTCCTAATGCGGTTGAAACAGTGCACGAAAATAATATCTTTGCTGCCAGAATCAGGGTATTCTTTGCCTTAAAATCAGATATTAACATCTGAAGTGTTTGTGATGAGTTGGCAGGAGAGCAAAATGTTTAGCCAGAAGTGTAAGTTTGTGAGGGAAGCTATTGATGATTACAGGCCAGCCTTGAAAAGTTATATTGCCACAAAACCTTTCTTCAGGAAAAGGACAGAATAAAATATGCCTTCTGAGGTGACTTTCTCTATGGGCAAATGTCACTTCATTTTAATGGCTTCGTTCACACAATACCGATTTCTGCAAGCCTTATTTGGGTAGAAATGTTAACAGAGATCAAAATGGAAATTAGGCTAATGGGCTGTAAATGGTAATAGATGTGTAATGGAAGAATTCAAAGTCAGTCTATAGTAAAGTGCCATGGTGTATTTTCAGACCATGAATTACCTGTAGAAATTACTAATCTTTGGTTCATATCAATGTCTGTACAGTATCTTTTTTCTTTTCTCATCAGAAAGCTCAGAATTTTGTCTTAATATGAGCTTAAAAAGCACATAATATCATGCATTGGTGGATCTTATGTCCATATATCCTCTAAGAGGATAGTATAAAGAGAACAGAATATCCATTAAAATTTCTAGAGCAGTTATAAATTTGATTTTATGCAACTCCTGGTGCTTTTATTGTTATTGTTCAGATGGAGTGAAATATAATGCCTCACTAACTACTCTGTTAATATAAATATCTCTGTATTTGCCCAATATGATATTTCAGCTTTTGAGTGCCCCAAAAGTTCTTCAGCTAGTTAAAGGAATCAGTTCCAGTGAATTACTCAAGTTACTTTTTTCATCATTTTTTTCCGATTTGTAATTTCATGAGATCCCAACTTCCCAGTGTTTCCTTACAACCATTCACCTGTAAATGTTGTAAAATGTATCTGGAGGGTTAACAAGGCAGCAAGGGGAAGGGCTTTCCAAATTAAGAGTTCTTGCAAGCCAGTATGCTTCTGGCCTATTCCTAGGTTGCTGAGAAGCGAGGTCTGCATTGCTTGCTTCTCTTTGCAGCTGCACCTACTGAGAGGTGCTGTTTCAGAACCTAAAACCTCTGAAGCTTAAATAGTTAGTAGCAACACCTAGACTTGCACTGCTAGGCACTGTGTGCATTTCACAGATCACTGAATTTACGTGGTACTGACGAAAACTGCTGTTCCAAATGGCCTGGGCTGACCTTAGCTTCTGAATCATCGTGGGGTGCAATCCTGAGTTGAGTATGTGACTCTCATATAATCTCAAAATGATGAAACCGTCAATAAATAGTTTTGATGCATTGGAAAAATTTTCTTTTCCGGAATTTTCTCTGAGGTACTGTCCTAAAACACTATATGTAAAACCACAGTTGTCATCCAGATACATTTCTTATAAGCAGCAGCCAAAAGAAAAGTCTGAAGTAGAGAGTCTGATTGTATAACACCTTCCTAATGTAGCATTGCTAGGGGCTGGACAGAATTATATAAACAATTGTATACATTATTTATACCTAATTAATTCTCTGGGTGCATTATTTGAATAATTCCTTACCCAAACATCTTGTAGAAACTTCATCAGAATCTGTGGTTTTCATACCAGCAAGATTTGTCTTGTTATGAGAGAGACAATAGAGTTCCACCTTGTGTATTCTAGATGCTGAAGCCATTCCTCCTGTATCTTTTATCTGGTTGCAGAACCCCTCACTTCCCCCAGTGCTTTACCATGTTTATTATTCAGCATCTAAACAGTCTGCTTAATAAATTAAATTTTTCAGGTGCTATAGAATAGATATGGGAAGACCTTTTGTTTCCTGCTGTGGTGTATTTCTATCATATTAATAACTACCTGAACTGGTATTAGATGTGGAAGTTCTTATCTGCTAGACTGTCTTCTGTTTTACTTCATTGTCTGCAAGTCAGTTTAGATCTTAGTGACATTTGAGAATGAAGCTAGTGTAAGAATTACTCCTTATCTAATCAGTATTGTAGCATTAGTTTCTGTTGCTGGTTTTTAAAATATCTTGCTAGACAGGTCTAATTGATTCATGTAGGGAACTGGAAAGTTTTAACATTGCTCAGATAATAAAATTGCATTTTTGAATGCTGTACCTGAATTCCTTACTTTATTTTGATGAAAACATAGTCAGAATTGATTAATAGTTTCACAAGCAGTGAGATAAAATTGGAATATTTCATTTAAGAAACTTTACCCTTTTTTTTGTATTTTTCAAGCTTTTTTAAAATTTGTATTCATGCCTTAAATGTTACTCTTTTTTTTTGTCAGAAATCAGCCTTAATGTTCGAGACCCTCCTACTAAAATAAGTATTATTCCAGAAGAAATGGTTAAGCCAGAGTGGGGATTACCTGAAGTTAAATATCGGTTTATCACAAGGTAAAATAAAATTGTTGATTGTCAAGCTGCAATTTAAATTTTGCTACATTACACTGCATGTTAATTGGAAATGTTTTATGAAAAGTTTCTGAGAAAGCTTTTTGTGTTGTTATTAACAAATACCCATATTTTTGTTGTGTTTTGATTTTAGGTCAGAACTGGATAACTTGCCAAACAATCATTCCTGTGATGTTATTGGTCTTGTGACGTTTGTAGGAAGGGCTGAACGATCAAGAAAGAGAGGTCTTTCTATAAATATGACTTCCAGAATTTATCAAACAATTTTAAACTTTTTGAATAAATGCTTATACGTTTTTCTTACTATTTGTTTATATAGAACATGGTGAGGACTTCTGGCTCTATCGCTGGGCACATGCCATTGATGGGACCTCAGACCAACCATTTATACTGGAATTATTTGCAACTTCTCAGCCAGATGTGTTTGAGCATATTCACCCAAGTATTCATCTCTATAATACTTATTATAGTGTTTTTCCTAGTTGGTTTCTAATTTTAAATTCTGAGTATAATTGCCACTGAATAAAAAATTGCCATGGTTTGTCTCCTGAGACAGAAAATAGCTGATCAGAAACTAAAATTTTAAAATTAAAAAATCAGTTTTAAGTATTTGAAGCCCTTATCATATTGCAACCTGCCAGTTAGTCTGAACATATAAATGGGCAGCTGGGCCTGATCATCTGATCTCATTAATTTCAAACAGAAACTTAAGCACCTGGGGCAACATCTCTTGCATCAGAGTCAAATAAAGACAGCTGGTTGAATTTATTACTGTGTTGGTTACTGCATGTGAGCTAAGAATTATAAATTTCAAACTGGGGAATCCTTAATTAAGGATTTTAAATATTTCTTCTTGCCTTCTTTCTCTTTGCCTCCAAGCACTCGTCCTTAAATTAATACTGATGGGGGTCATGTACATTTTTTATATCATATGATGCAGGACCAGCTGCACAATCCTGTTAAGATTGTGACTGCATTGTTCTTGACCTTCTGGGGAAATGGCAAAGAATGACATTCCAGTGTTTAACTGAGATATTAATGGAACAGTGAGTTTGTACTCTAGAAGCTTTATAGTGGCATGTTATGATTTCTTGTGCTTTTCATGATTTTATGCTTATTAAGGTTGGACCGGATGATCCTTGAGGTCCCTTCCAACCTGATATGCTGTGATTCTGTGATTATCCTGAAGAAACACAGCCATCTAATATCCATATTTTTACTGTTTTTCACTGATATCCTACTTGGTAAAGTATCTCATGTTTTAGTCCTAATATGTATACTGAAATTTCCTTGCACAGTTATTAAATTGAAAAATTAATTGTATCTCCACATTGTAATTTATAACAGAGGCTCAATAGCTACTGAAACATTTGTAGGGTCAAGAACTAAAATGTCTTGTTTAGAGCGCTTAATAAAATTAATCCCTTATGTGTCAGTCTTGACATTTTAAAATCAGTGACATAGCAGGAAGAAAACTGAAGGTTTGTTTTTCTTTTTCTCCAGTGACATACTTGGTGTGTACACAGATGAGAGTGGTAAGGGACCTCACTGAGAATCCTTCCAGCACAATTTACCTTACAACTTCGAATGAAAGTCAAATATTCATTACAGGTAACTTAAACTAATTTTAGTTAGTTCTCATCTTCTTTGGAAAGAGTATTTTCATTTTACAACAAAGTAATCAGTGCATAGTATTAGTTTCTCTCTCAGAAGTGTCTTTGACTTAATAATGAAATATCATTGCAAAAAGAAAGTCAAATTGCGTTCTTGCAAGGCATTGATGGGTGTATCTCATGAAAAGTATGCAAGTATTATTAGGTTAAGTTACATGTTTACTAATTCACTAATTATTTCAGGCTGTTTTAATCCTTTGATAGTGTAACAATACAGACTACCACTTCCTTAAAAATGTTAAAAATCACTTCCAGCTTTTCTGGCTTACAAATTTCCTTATTACCAAAAAAAAAAAGAAGTATGATTGTCCTTTATTTGTCTTAGCTACTCTTTTTCACTAAATATCTGAAGAGCTGTTGTGTTTCATCTTTCCAAGTGCAACTTTCAAGTTTCAACTTTCCAAGTGCAGCCCATGTAGTCTCGGAAGGGATGTGGTGCTGGACGGCACTGAAGGAACAGTCCTTCTAGATAGTCTGAATACCTGGATCTGCAGTTGCAGTGCTCTCTGTGGTGCTGTGGTACTGTACACTAGATACCACCCATCAGCATGTCGCAGGCAGGACCTGGCACAGCTCTTTATAGTATCTTTGCTCTTGAATCAGCAAGCAGATTACAGTAGTGTTGCAGGCGAGTGATGTATGGGCCTAATTGCAAGGGAGTTGTAAGATGCAATAGGTGTATCTTTCCTGTGTTTATTTATCCAGATCATTTATTCAATTTTCCTAAAGTATCAGTCACCCAGTCCAAATCTTGCTGCCAACAAGTAGAAACAGAGAAAAAGTATGTGCTAAAAAAGTACCTGAACATAGTTCTATACACAGTCTTTCCTGACCAGCTAGGTGTAGAGTGTTTTGTGCTTAACTGGACTAGCAAAGCAAGGTGGTTTTTTTGTTAATACATTTCTGATTATTTCATTTATTCCTGAATGAAGGGTTTGAGAGGTTGTTTTTTTTCTTTGCTTTCCTGCAGCGTATATTTGTGCTTAATTTTCTAATTAAATACTTAAGCTTTCCCCCACCCTAGGTTTAGTTCATTATATGTCTCTTTGGGTTCTAAATGAGAACTACAGCTGGAGATTGCAAACCATTGGATAAGATCTGTTTCAGTTCAGAGGTTAGACATAGACTGGTCAGAATTACAATTTGTTTGATAAAACTGGTCCTTAGTCCCTATCTTGGTTTTAAAGCAGCCAACAATGAATACATACCTTGCAAATTACCTGTCGGTAACAATCTTTGCTGAACCCTGTGAAGATGATGTATCTGTTTTGTCCTGCTAATAAACCAATTTCTGATCATTTTACTGTTTTGTATGCTCCTGCAAGAAAGTATTCTAGTAGCGTTTTTGCTAATTGTTTTATTTCTTTACGTTACTTTACATTTGTCTAACTTTCACTTTCAAATGTGTTAGTCAAGGAATTCAAGAGACTCATTTCATAAAACACTGTTGAGTAGTAGAAAGATGTCTTTTGTATTCTGTAGTCCAGTTTTTCTTAATTAGTTTTTCTGACATACTGTTCAGGATAGTTTCAAGATGAGAATGCTTGCTTTGGTTTTAATACCCATTTATTTTTGTTTTGAAAGGGTGGCACAAGGGCCAGCCATACACCAAGGATACCAAAGTGAAAAACTTCATTCAGTGGACTAAAACACAAAGTGAAGCTGATCAAATGAAGAAAACTGTCATTGGTGGCTATTATCCTTTTCCACGACCTCCAAATAACTTTTTGAAGTATTGTAAAAACAATAAAGGTATCCTACCATCAAGTATCCTTGAGATTTGTAGCCTTTTTCAGTTCAGTCTTACTCCAAGCATTTAAAGCATCAGTTAAAAAGCAACACAGTTACTGTTAGCGATTACACAAATTTGTAATGTTGTGCAAGAAAAATTCCCTTTCATGACTAAATGTATCATAGACTAGATTCTCATCTTACAGAAAGTATCATGGCACCATTAGCTGCAGTAAAGTGCAGCAGCTTACATGAGCTACAGATCTGCCCAGAAGTTTTACTCTGAGTATTCTGCTAAATCAGAATTGAGACAGTTATACTGAAGAATACAGGGAATTAGAAATTTCACCTGAAACAAAAAATGTAGTGTCTGATAACACATGCTAAAAGATGCTTGTGAGCTAATAAGGTTTATTGTTTAAATTTTTTCCATGTCATGTAAACAGCAAAAAGATATAAAATTCTTCAAAAATATAATTTTAAATCAATTGAATATTTAGTAACAAATTCCTACTTCTGAACCTTGCATTCAGATATTTTGAAGTTGTATTTCTTTAAAACTTGTTTCTGGAAATTTCTTTTTGCAGTTAAATCGGTTTTGAAAGCCATAGGTGAAATGGAGAAAGAGATTGAAGACTTGCACTACAGAGAACACAAGCGCATTGCTGTTCAGGGAAAAATTAGTGCCATAAGATACATCAGCTCTAGCAATGCAGCTGAAGAAACCTCAGGAGCAGAACTTGGTCAGGTACAGTGTTTGAGAATTAATGTTATAGCACTTAAGCAGCTATTATTATAATTAGAATGGAGAATTTTGCATTTGAGTTCAGAACCTAGTTACACTGTCTTTTGATTAATTTCATTTGCTATTTTGAGAGCAAAATTTTTGAAAATCATAATTTAGCACTTTTTAAAAAGTGATGATTCAGTGCTTTTCAGAAAGTGTTGTGGCAGTCCTCTGTATAACTAGGTAACTGTTGAGAAGTTACGAGTTTGACTGGATAGCATAATGATAATCAGAACGCAGGAGAGACAGCTACTGCAGTATGCTCACTGTCACTTTCTAGACAGAATTTATCTTATTAATATGATTAGAAGCTAATTTCTTCTAGATACAACATGACTTTCAGAAGGTGGGGTAAATTTTTCCTTTAAAGCTTGCAGATTTTTGAGTTGGAACTAATAGCTTTGCTTTGAAACTCTTAAACCATTAACTGTTGCAGACAGATACTTCTCAGTCTCTTGAAAGTGCTGCTATGTCCAAACAAGACTGTGTTCACAAGGGGAAGAACACCAACCTTCAAACAAAAGAAATTCAGTCATCTTTGGGGCCATGCTGCACTCCTGGGGAACAACATCAGCACCAAGCTCTACAGTCAAAAAAAAGTTCAGTCAAGAGAAAGATACCGCGCAGGTTAAATACAGATGCAGAACAGTAAGCTCTCTTTATAAATACGTACTGGATCTTCTAAAAAGTGTTTACAGAAATTAGTTGAGAGACAAGGCCATAAAAATATATAAGAAAGCTTTAAAAGCATATATAGTTTGATCTTTAAAAAGTAGTTAGGTAATTTTCCTGTCATCAGGTGATATATAACAATTATACTGTTCAGGCTAATGAAGGACTGATTAAAGCAGGTGCCTGCTTTGCAGTGCTCTCTTCTGATTAATATTTGTTCTACTTTTGTGGTTAATCTCACAGATTTGAAATAAAAATAGTTGATACTGGAACCATATATAGTTTAGTGACATAGCAGTGGAACCGGCAACGCTTACAGTGGTGAGGAAATAAGATTTTTTCACTGGAATTGCACAATTGGGATCTGGTATACCTGTTCCTTAATTTCAAACATACTTTTTTTTTTTTCTTTCTGATTAATGGAATGTACTGCCTGTAGCTGTAACTTGCTGTCAGAAAGGCAAGGAGATGGTGGTCATGCACTAACCTAAAGGCTCGAAATAACTTGTAACTATGGCTCTGCTTGTGATGGGATTTCATGAAATTGTATTGCATCTAGTCAGACATAGACAAAGGGTATCAGTCTGATATAAGGAAATGGAATAAGACAGAGTAATTTGTCTGATAAAACTGTATTAGATTCAAGAGTAAAATGTCCGCTTGTATAAGACTGCCCTTTGTTGCAATGTTTGTGCAAAATCACATATACCCATACTGAGTATTAAAAGCCTGGCATATACTTTGACAGATTTAATGTTACAAAAATCTAGCCAGGCACTTTTTTTTTTGTAGTGGATTTCCCATGCTGTAAAGGGCTTGGTTTTCTTCTCAACTTTTCACATCCAAAAGTCATAGTGTGGGAAGAGGGGTGGGTATTTGGAATATTTTGAAGGAAAATGAGATTAAATATAATTAAGATTGAATGAAAACTTAAGACCAAGAAAACCCTGGTGAATAGAAGTTCTGTCTTGGCGGTGTTACAGCAAACTTGTTAGTGGATTTCAGTTCCATAAAAAAATTCCATAATTTGAGTGTCTTAAGTTAGTTCTGCCTGAAAGAAAAACATGCATTTTATTCACTTTGTGTTTCCATTTAAATAAATACTATAAAATAATGGTGAATTTCCTACTTTAAGGGGAAGAGCATCTGTTACTCCTGCAACACCTTGCCTCTATTACACACGGTCTGCAAGAAGGAAATTTGGGTAAGTCATGTGAAGTTGATTATGTTAAAGAATTGCAATGGTGAAACAAAGATATTTGAAGTGAAACTTTTACAGGTCAGGATTGAAAGTGAAATGCAAGTACAGATTAGGGTAGAGTTTAATATTTTGTATTCACTTCCTCTGCACTGTTTCTAGTTAACTGGATTATTTTCTTCTGAAACATCATTCTGAGTGTGATATTAAACATATATTTATACTGCTACTAGTGCTACTTAGGGAGTATATAGTAACAGGGGTCCATCTTGGTAAGCAGAGTAGTATATGTAGTTTTTGTTTGAGAGATTACAGTTCAACTAGAAAAGTCAAAGGTAGGAGGGAGGGATGCTTAATTAGCCAGCAGAGTGAACATTGTAATAGCATTAATGCATTTTCTAGCAGTGACTGAGCTATACTTCATCCTTGATGCTACAGAGGTGTGAGTATAGTTACCCCTGAGAAGCCACTTGGCTCCTTTTCCTACCCAACACTCAGTCTTTATTAAGCTCAGCTTGGATCTGGAAAAGGATATTTTTTTAAAATCCAGATAGGAATTTCAAATCCACAGCCCTGAGAAATCTGGAACTTAATGAAATAACTACACATGGGAAATTATTAAGAAAATTGAATGAGTGTTGTTATTTGCTAGTCTGGGATAAAAAGCTACTTTCCTTCATGCATTGTGTTTAAGGGCCATAAGTTCTTGTCATTTCTTCCAAACACAGCTAGGATAGTTTGAGCATCTGAACTCTTTGGTGTCAGTCACTTCAGATGTTTGGGTTTTTCGGCAGCGGTGCTTTGGACTTGTGTCATCAGTACATACACCCCTCAGTTGCCACATTTGTTTACTTTTAGCACCTCTTCCTTTCCCCCTAAAACAAAGAATCATGGTACTAGGGATATAGCAACAATAGTAATGATGTAGTTAGTCATTCTGCAAGACCATTCTGCAAGTATTACTGCCCTATAAGCATGCCTGTTTTATTGAAAAACATTTGCCAAAACTTTTTCTGTGGGATAAATGAGTCTCTCTTAAGCCTCCATGTCTTCATTGTTTCTTCTGGTCCTCTTGGCAGATACTGCATTTTCTAGGGGAAAAATGTTGCCTGGCTCTGCAGCCTGTTCATTAAAAACGTGACGCCTGGCTTTAAGGTCACATCTCTGCAGGTGGTGCAGGAGTTTGCAGGGACTTGTGGCACAAATCCATAGGAAAATCAGGAATTTTTTTGGAATGTGAGGAATCCTATTTTCTTTTACTTGCTGAGAAATGTCTTTTTTTTTTCTTGGGGGTGGAGGGTGGGAAGAATGTTTTTCTCCCCATTTCTTGAAAGTGAAGCAAAAAGTTAAGGCATGTTTACTTTGTCTCTGCTTTTCTCAATCTGCTTACTCTCCTTGCTACCTGTGTGTGTCCACTCTATGCCGTTAGTGCTAGAACCCCAACTAAAGGAGGAGAAAGTGTGTGTTGGATTATGGAAAGCTGGTTCACTCTATATAATTAAAAGGTAACTTCTGTGTTTCTGTAATTAACTATGAAGTTGTGCTGAATTCTCCAAATTTCAAAAGAAACATATGAAGAAAAATAGCCTGATATACCTTAAAATTGCATTGTTTTCTGTCCTGTTTCTTAGAAGTAACAAAATGTCAGCTCTCACTGAAATCTTTAAGTTGATGAAATAACAACAGTAGAAATATATTTTGAAGTACATATTCTATCAAACTATTTTGCAATGAGTATTTTGTGCAGTTTTTCAGCATGTGGTTGCATTTTAAGTTTCCTTGGTTTTAAACAGTAAAAGCTTATTTTAAGGCTCTATTGACAACCTCAGTTCCTCCATTTCAGGTAACTTATTTATCTGATTATTAAGGGTTTCAGAAAGAGCAAGTTACAAAGAAACTGGCTAATTTAATATTATTATTGACATTTATATCCTTGCTAGTGGAGACATTTGACATAAATATGCTTTTAAACATTCAATATACCCCTGAGTAGTTTAATTGATAGTTTATTGTGTATGGGGAAAGATCAGGAATTTCAGAAAGGCTTATTTTTATGTGGAAGTGAAAAAAAAACAGTAGTTCTCTTAGTGTTTTAGTATTTGTAAGTTTAGCACTGCAGTTACCATAGAGTTGCTGGTACACTACCTGCTCACACTCTACACTACTTCAAAGTAACTTGTTTGTATGCTTCTATTCTTGCAGTTTCACTTCTAAATGTTTATGTAACTTAAGCCCTTTTCTCCTTTTTCCCTCCCCTCTGAGAGCTAAGGGATGGAGATTCCATTATACAGGGAAGTACAGCTTGAGGTTTGCATAACTGAAAGTTTCCCAGAATTTGACACTGCCTTCAGACCCCTTTTTCACATCAGTAGGAATTTTTCAGGGAGAAATTGGTAGATACCAACACTCAGTTTCTGTAAACTTGTCAAATTGTTGCAGAAGACTGTTTTTTCTGTTACTGCTGTGGTAGGTGCATATACCATAGTAGTGTCATGACAGTTAAGTTGATTTCAAACCAGCCTATAAAATAAGGCTTTTACCAGTTACATGTCAGTGAGTGGGGTGTTTTGTTGTTTTGAGGCACTTCAATTCCTCACATTGTTTGAGCATAGCTACAAGTTGTAACTATTTTTTCTTAATTTTATTTATCACAGCCCAATGCTTAGGAAACAGGTGTGAAGCACAAGACATGCTTATTTTCCTAATGTTTTCTGAAAGTATTCATCTGCCATCTATTTTGATTATTTTTTTTTCGTTGACAATACTTTAAAGTAAAATGACTGAAAAGCTGAATACCAGTGCATCCAGAAATACTGAATAAAGGCTTTTTTACAAGTGGGCATATGTAGAAAGGGGAGTCTGCAGAATGCAGGCTGGGAATAGCAAATTCATGTGGCTCGAGTTCTCATAAAGCTGGCATGGGCAAGACAGGAATGTGGCTGTTCTGGTGTACAATAGCCATGGCATATTGCAGGAAATGGAAGGATTTGGGTTAGATCAGGTGGCTTGCAGGCATACTGGCTGACAAAGAAACATATCAACTGTGTGTATAGACAAGTAGGTTTCTCTTACAAACCTAGCTCAAGTTACACTGTATGCACATCCAGCACAAAGCAGTCCTGTAAGAATAGCATGTTGGGCAGGTAGGAGAAATCACCCCAGCTACAGATCTGTGAAAGAAGTGGGGAAAAATTGTGGCAAGTTATTTTCATATTTTTCAGAGGCTCTGCTAGGTCTAAATGAGAGCCTATTCACCTCTAAAACTAGAGAATTTTTAAAGGAAAAAAACCCATCTCCATAACATCAACTTGTCAGCAGTATGACTTGGTTTAATCCTCTGCTTTAATGAAGGGGGAAGTTGGGATATATCTAACTTGACACGGTGATTTTTGAGCAAGCCTTTCCCAACATAGTTCTAGATTTTCATGTCTCTTGTTGAGAAGTCTGAGTCTCAAAAGTGAGAATTAGTTTTGTGGACATTAATTTCTAATTAGACTACTTTTGTTAATACTTTTGAAAATGTCTTCTAATGGCTTAAAAACATGATAATATAGCTGGTATGTCAATGTTTAATTTATTGTTATGCATACACAATAATCACTTTCCATGCTGGTTCTTGTAAAAGGAATTAATTCTTCACAAGATACTATTTTCATGGAAACATTCTTTCATCTAGAAATAATACCATAGGAAGCACAGTGTAATTACTCAATTATTTTAGAAAGAGACACTTTCCTGATACCTTTCACAGAAAACATAAAAATACTACCGGATACACTTAGATCTGACATCTTGCATGCATTTTTCTGAGGTTGCCCTGGACTTCAAAATTTGAAAAATACTTTGGACTACAAAGTCACGTAGAAACAGATACAAATTTTCATTTACTAACATTTTCAACACAACTCTGCTGAGAAGCTTGGGTGGTTGGTGGGAGACAAGTAAGGTCATGCAGTAAGGTCATGCTGTTTTAAGGTTCTCCAAGTGGCAGCTTTTTTTGTTTACAAAATTAGGTGGCTGAAACCTCAGTTGCAGTTTGTGCTGCTTAAATGAGAACTCCTTTGTGCTTAGAGTTGGAGATTACAAGGTGGTTGCTCCAGTACTTAGCCCACACCATGATGACAGGGCATTTCATACTCAAAAAACCACAATGTATTTCCTTTTATCTTTTCACTAGATTTTAGATATTTTCTGGGTTTTATGAAACACTGACATGAAATTTTCAAGATAGATCCTGTCTGACATGGGAAAAATTGAAAAAAAAAAACCTGTAAATCCTTATAACTGAAAAACAGAATGTCCCGCTAAACATCATGTTCATCTTTGATTCCCTTTTCACTATCTATGTATTTGCAGTTACAAAATTTTATTAGTAACTGCTTTGGTAGTCTGGAGTTTTAATGGTGCCTTAACAAAGTCTTGCCTATGTCTCAGTTATTTGTGGTGCAAGATAATCAAGATAGTTTTTTTCCTAAGTCTATTCAGACATTATGATGAGTTTATAACAAGGAATGGGGCAAAGAAGAAAGGAATAAATGGGCCTAGAGCTTATTTTACCATGTTGTGGCTTCAGAGTATCTGTTACATTTTTATCCTGCATAATATCCTAGGTAATTCGAGATTGTTAGAGAATAGCTGCTTTCTGTTAATTCAAAATTTCATGTTTAAAAATGAAATATAACAAAAATCTAGTTTACGTGATTGAACCAATTGTTAAAACAGGGTAGTATATCCTAACGAAAATATATATTTGTAATTTCTCTATCATTTTGGATTCTGGAATGATAACGTGGTGGCTCCACTCGTGCTTTGTTTTTGACTGCTAAAGGGTGCCAATATGAAAGTGCAGTGGCATGCTGTGCAAATGTTTTTTCAGAATCAGGTTGTAAACCTGTTGGCCATCTGTGATGTTCAGCTTTTAGTGTCTCACATGCTATTTCCAGCAGGAGCCCAGCAGAGGGCAACAAACACTGTTTTTTTGAGTGTAAAATGCTTTTTCTGTCTACTTCATAAGGCAAAGAACTTGTCCTAAGCTCTTCAAAACCGATTTACTGAGTGTAGCAGGTCTTGTTATGTCAAGCTGCTATGTTACAAGTCTTGTGTGATGAAACCAGGTACTAGTACCCACTCATTTGAGCTTGTATCATTTATCACTAGAAATCTGTCAAGCTTTGAACTTCTGCTGCTCAGTGTTTGAGGTTAAATAGGTTTTAAATATATATATATATATATATATATATATATATATGCTATAACTTTCTTTTTATAGCTTGGATGAATTTCAACATGAAGATTCCATGCAAGATAAAAATGGACAAGCTCTATCAGTCAGTTTACAGTGCTGCACAGGTACGTTGCAAATAGTTGCTACATAACTTAGGAGGTTTAAGTCTTCTACTTCTCTTCAGATCCAAAATAGGCAATCAAGCCTTATAACCCTTGTTTGTCAAGACAGCTGTTCCTTACATCTGGTTGCATCAGTCTCTGGGGAGCCACTGTTGTAAGGTATTGTTAATGTCATTCTGCTCTGTCATGTCCCTGATGTGTTCTAAAGGATGGCTGGAAGGACAGTGTGGGGCTGTTTCCCAGTATGGGGGAATAAATTTTGTGTTGCTTTAGGCAAGTTTTAAGTTAGTTTTGTGAAGTGCTTACTAGCATAAGACCATATATTTTCTGTTGGCAGTTTTCTTGCTATTGTCATCTACATGTGATAAAATTGTCCCTCTCTGGGAAGGTAGCCCCAAAGCTATGTGAGTATTTAATTAAAAAGACAAATACAAGATGTGGGGAGGGAATGGATGCAACATACAAGTCAGTGATAAGAATGATGTTTGGTTTAGGGATTTTTCCAAGTTAATATTACTAATTTTTTCTTTCTTCCTTTGTGATGAAAAATAAACTCATATTCCATGCAATTTTTGATATCTGTTTTTGGATGAAGAAAGAAACTTAATTTGCCTTATGTGCAACTTGGTCTGCTTTAAATTTCATGAAAATGCTTTGAAATGTTTTCCCGTTTTTAAAGCTGACTGAATATACTCTGAGTCATGTAATTTTCTCTAAAAGTTCATCTACTACTAGCATCTCTCCCAACATTAACATCTGCCAATTTACTTCTATGTATAGCTATATTATGTATAATGGTGTCCATCCTTTCAATTTTGCAAGGCAGCAGTTCGTCTTAATTTAGTAATGACCACAGTAGGTTATCTCTGTTGCCTGTTGATGATGACCTACTCCATTATGCTGCTTTAAAGCAATAGAAATTACAGTAAATTTTCCCAAATCTTTAATACATTAAAGAGACTGAAATTAGGAAAGTTTCAAATTGGAGAAAAATTTGTACAGATAAATGTTTAAAGGGAAGTTTTATTCCAGAGAAAGAGCAGCCTCAGTTACTATGTAGAGATCTGTTCTTCAAAAGTAAGAAAAGTAAGAAAGTTTGATAATTAATTACTTTATTGGTTGTAAGTCTTCGCTCAAGTTTCTTGTTGCTTTTTAAAATGAGAAATGAAATTGAGTGTTCTCACCTGAAATTATTTTTACAGACATTTCTGGTAGCTGTAGAGTTTATTGTGCTGTGCTGTTGCGCTCTCTAGTATTGGTGAGCTGTTGGGTAGATCTCATAAAATGAACGCATGTATGCAGTTTCAATGGGTTGGTTTAAAAGGTTGGTTTTCAAAAAAAAGGATGTGAAGATGTAAAATTAAATAGATGTCTCATTTCTTAACTGTAGTTAAAAAATCTTGCATTAGATACTTACATTTAGATATTTATAGCTGTAAAACAGATCTATTTAGATACTTTTATTCTTAAATTAAAATATAATTTACCCTGGTATTTCCTCACTGCATGTGAAACCCCATTTAACTTCAGTTGGCTGATATTTTGAGTGTAGTCCAAAATAAATGAATCAGTCTCTCATCTAATGTAAGTATACAATAATTATATGAATATGTTAGTAAATGTAGCTACTAAATATATGCACATATATGGGACAAGGTTCACTCAGTGGAATTTCATTTACTCCAGATACTGTTTTTTGCAGGAGGTATAAAGGAGGAGTAAAAGGTTGCAACCAGTGCTGTAAGATAATGAAATGTACACTGACTCAGATTTACTAACAAAAGTGTTTGCAAGAAACAAACTTTATAGTAACAGTGTAATCTGATGATCAAATTAACTTCTAAAATTTTACAAGAAAAAAACATCTACTGTACACTGGAATTATACAGTGGATTTAAAAAAATCCTCCTGCTAACTGAACTCAAAATAGGGTTCATCTCAATTGCTTTTTGTGGAAATCATGTGTTTAACTGTTCACCATAGCCATTTTTATATTTTTGATTGGTTTAGAGAAGAAAGTAGTCTGCTGCCAAGAGGCTCTCTGTACCTAGAGGAGTTCAGACATAGTATTTTTCTTCTAAAACACGGTCAGATTTTTAAAAGGTTTTAGCATCTTGTTTAAATAACCAGTGGTGGCTGTTCTCACTGTGCTGTCCTGATTACATGTCTGTTTATGCTGAGTTAATAAGGATTGTACAAGTAGGACAGACAGTTACAGCACCAATCATATATTGAGGGAGAAAGTAAAGTAATGATGGAAGTTTCAGAAAGAGAAAGGGGGTTTAGATTATGAAACTTTTTTTGTACTTTATTTGCCTAAGGTATAGTATTAAGTAGTCACACTTGTAGAGAATACTGTAATTCTCCAAGTAAAATGATGAGAAGAAACATTTCTTCGTGTAGCAACTGTCATGTGCCCCTTTACCTTTTATGGTGATTTCCAGTTCTGTGAGAAAAATACTATAGGCTGCTTTATGCAATTCAGAGCACGCTTTTAATTTCAGTGTTAGTGTCAATTTTCTTTAAATTAACTGTCCTTTGTTGTCGTAACTCAATGCAGCAAGACTCATTTCCCTTGTTGAATGTTCTTGCATGTGTTGTATGAAGTTTGTGTGCATACATTCTGGTTTCTTACATTTTTTAACATAAGAACAATTAATGACACTAAAAAGAAGCCAAAAAGCATGTTTGTAGAGAAATGTTGGGGTTTGTAGAGAAATGTTTGTAGAGAAATGTTCGGAAGGCTACTTGATAAGTTGTTTCACAGGGCATGGAGGAGCTACAGGGCTATACTGGGAATATTTTGAAATGAGCTTTCTGATAAGCTCAAAAGGTGGAATTTAACACTTCCCTTCAAAATGGGAGGTGATGGCTATATAAGCTTTTACCTTTAACAATCCTCAAGTTACATGTAATGGGAAAGAAGAATGGAGCCATCATTGACTGTATAGCAGGAAATTTTAAATGTAGCATAGTCCTCAATGTAAGCATATAGTTATTGTGCAAGGGATGAACAAGTTTACCTTCACTGTGCCCATTTTAAACTTGTTTTCATAGTTTTCTGGCTGTTCATTAAACAAGTTACATGCCCTCCAAAAATAAGCCATGATGATGCTCTTCGTGTGGTGAAATAAGTCTTTTTAGCACAAGTCTAGCCTCTGAGGTTACCAGTTTAATCACGTTCCAATCCCAATTTAATTCATTGTTTTGAACATTCTGCCATGTCTCCATAATTGAAATGTTCTAATGAAAATATTTTTCATCTAGCAGAGAAGTGATATGATTCCATGACCATATAAGCAGCTGAATATTTTCTGTGTTTATAATAGACCAAGAAGGAATGAGTGATGTACCTGAAATTGAAGAGATGGGAAGAACTCATGATTCATGGCAGAGTGATCTGTGGGCACAAGTGAAGGACAAGTTAATGAAATACCTGCACCACAGCACAATTTTCCCAGAAAGCATTCCACGTAAATTTGATTATGTGCACAAAGATTTACTTATGCAACAGTACAACCTTTATGCAGCAGTGCACCAGCCAAAAGAAACCAGAACAGATAAAAATATCAATGAGTTTAAAAGTGCTAGTGGCCTTGGGTATTACGAAGTGACAGTTCTGGGTAAGTAGTTGGTAGCTTGGCTTCTAAAAAAGCTTAAGCAAGAGCAGTATAACATTGTTGTTCTTTGCTGCATTAACTTATGAATGGCTTGAAGGTTTGTCAGAAACTGAATGGATTCCTCTATCGCTTGATTCTGATTATTTCTTGAAGTTTAAAAAAATTATTGAAGTTTTAGATTTCTGTTGAACTCATGATTTAGGACTTTTTTTACCTGAAGGCTGTAATTCTTATTAAAAATACCTTGAAATGAAGTTATCAATTTCTAGTATTTTTATATAATTGCAATTTTTTTTGATAGCCTTATGTGTATCATTTGAAGAATGTGTGTAGTACTTAAGCTATTGATTATTACAATTAGAGGTCCTGTTTACCAGTTCAACCAGTCTGACATAATTAGGTAAATTATTCAATTACTTGACAGCTGACTTTCCTGCTGGAGAGGTATTTATCAGAAACAAATTAATTGTCCTTTTCCCTTTAAGAATACTGTAAATACTTCTTTTGAGCTTTATTCTCATTGAGTTGTTTTTTGAGCAGTGATGCTCCTAAAGCTCCTTTCTTCCATGAAAGAAAATTTCAGGGCTGTATTTTAGCCATACTCATAACTGCTCTCTGCTGCTTCTGGTTAGCACAAAGTGTCAATTGATTGATCTTTATTTGTTAAAATATGTATATGCAAATTGATGTCTATCTGTTTGTTAGCATTACTGTGAGCTATTAATCTGTTTGAGTTTGGTTTCCCATTAAAAGGAGAAGGAAATTGTCTAGCTTAATGATGCTGATGTTAAAGTTCCCATAATTTGAAAGTTTCCATTATTTGCTAAGCGAGATTTTCAGAGAAGGTATTTGAATATTTAGTCTTTAGAATCCTGGGACTTACAGTATAATAATTCAGGACAACAGTAGCACAAGTACTGCACTTCATATTACATAGATACACTGGTTGTAAAATGAACTTCTTTTCCCTGAAGCAGTGATAAAGTTAAAAAGGAGTATGAGATGGTTTCCAGTGTTGGCTTAATATTTTCTGAGCTAACAGCATTGTTAGCCTTAAATCATAGTGTGTTAAAGCATCATATCAATTTGAATGTGCTCATGTATAAATACCTGTACAAGTATATATTAAAATGTATTTTTAGGCATTAGTTAATAATTAATGGACAAAGAACAAGTCAATAAAAATCAGTGTTTGGCCTGTAATAGTTTGTTTCTTTAAAAAAAAGAAAAGATGCATGAAGTTGCTAATGAGCTGGAGATAAATTTTTCTGCTAACTTAAATATTTTTTTTCCACAGGTATAAACCATGATGTAGCAATAGATGTTGCATTTCTTCCACTGGTTTGTCCTGAAGATCCCTATTTATTTCAACTGGAAGACAATCAAAATGATATGTTACTGTCTCATATGAGTTGCATCTCTGGATGTCAGCAGAAGGCCACTAGCAATGGAAGGCATTCACTTTCAAGTGAGACTGGCTTTTACTGACATTATTAATTTATCATTTCTTGTTTTATCTTTTAAGAGTTAATCCTTTATAGAAATCTCTGTTGGTCAGATGTTTACGTCTTCAGTGAAAGATACATAAATTCTATGTAGCCACCTTTAGTAACTTTTTAATACTGAACTTTCAAGGCAGTTTTTACTGGAGCTGTTCTCATACTCTGCAGATAGTATTTTAATATCCAAACCACAAACTCCTAAGTGACCTAGATAGTATTTGCAGTTATTAGTTGAGGCAAAATTATACTGACGTAGTCAGTATGTGTGTCTGAGCATGAGACTATTGGCTTGATCTGCTTTGAAATGAGTGGAGTAATTGTCCATTTGTCAATCCATTTCACTGATGTTACTTTGAACAGCTGCTTTAACACAACCTATAGTGCCTATAAACTGAATTATTTGCTTACTATTGAATTATATTCCTTCAGAATATGCTTCTAATTACTAGCACCTTCCAGCAAATATGGTGAACACTATTAATGTGTATAATACTGCAAAACGCAATAGAAGCATCGTGGTTTTCTGCATGTTTATATAGACAGACCTGATTTTATTTAAATCCATCTTTACTTTTCCTTGAATAATACTGTGAAATCTGAGAATCACTAATGGGTAAGTACTGCATATTTCAGCTTTTGCATATCTAAGTTCTGATGCTGTCGTTTCTAGTCATTGAATTCACTAACAATATTCTACCAAAAAAAAAAATAAAAAATCCCAGAGTAAGGTTTTTCACTGAAAAAAGCTTGAACGTGTACACATTACTGCATGGAAAACAGTATCAATTCACTATATGTTTTTACTGTATGTATATTAAAACACCTTTTCTTAACTCCTAGATGAAATTGTAAAAGCAGCAATGGATCTAGATGGCAAACATGTTGTCTGCATCTTGGACGTCTGTCACTTGGGTGATGACAAGGTGGAAGTCTTCCTGAGCAAAATCTACAAGACAGTGGAACCTGGTGTGCTGGAATCAGTGTAATTTAATAACTTATTTTTTAGATTTATATTGTTCAGAAGGAGGGAAATAAAATTGCTGTAACTTGAATACACCCTCTACACATTGCACTTTTCTAGAACTAGCAGACACAAATATAAAATTATGATTCTTAGAGCAATTGCAGTGGTCATCCATGTAACGGAGAAGGGCAATTGTTGCCTTTATTTTTTGGCAGTCTTGAAACAGATAACAAAATGTCTTGGTCATTTATGTTCAAGAAGGATGAATAGGCAATACAGTGAGCTTATTTTTTGATAGGATACCAAGGAGTATATATAGGATTGTTACCCCTCTCTCTCTCTGCCTGTGCACATACATGCGCAGGAAATGTCTATATCAGGGTGAGAACTGAGAAGAAGACAGGCTTTCCCGATATTAAAGGCAGTGTTTGCAAAAGAATTAACTGGCTGTGATATAAATTTAGGATAGAAATTAGAATAATTTTGAGGATTAGAGCTGTAATGTTCTATAGTGATCTTTTAGTGGGAGGTATTAGGGGCAACCTAAATGCTTTTTAGGGTTGAAGCTTACTGTGTTTGTGAAAGTGATTAAATACCACAGTGCCTTTAGTATTGGGGTCTGGACTCAGTGATCCAAGATGCCACTTTTAGTTCTTTTTTGCCTTAGCAACATCAGCAGCTGTGTCTTTGTATGTCTGCTTTTGTATATACAACATAGGGTAGTGAGTATAACACCCAAAGGTTTTTAACATATTTATTAATAAAATAATAATGAAATATTTTAAAAAATAAACTTTGTTATGGAACTTGCTTCTAGTTTTGCAAGAAGAAAAACTTTCTTCGAGGAGTGCTTAGCATGGCAGGATACAGTTTGTCACACCATAGAAAAATCTGTATTTTTGCTGTTGATCACCACTATCCTTTTTCTTTTAACCAATAGCTATATGCTGAGTACATGAAGGAGCTCAGCAGCTGCGAGAAGCTGCTGCTTCCACAAGAGCAAAAGACTAAAATTCTGTTGGCTTTTTGCCTGTAAGTAGCAGCTGACTCCTGCTGAGTTCAGAACCAAGTCCCACTTTTTCCCCCTATGTCAAACAGCCTCAAATCATTTATACAGCTGGGTCCTTAGGAAATTATTCTCGAGCAGGAGCTAAAATACATTGCTATGTGACAACTAGTATGAGTTCAGTTCTTTGAGAAGAAATGACTGCATTATGGAAGCTTGCCAATTAAATTATGCCATTATTGACCAAAAAGTTAATTTATAAAAACAGATTTTATTCTTTTGTGGAAAACTTCTAGGCACGTTTTAGCAGCCTGTTGGTAATTAAGGAGCATCTCTTTCAACTAGTAGCTTGTTCCTCTACCCTGGGGACAGTTGACCTTGTCTTCAAGCACTTGAATTCTGTACCCTAACTTCAGTTAATGGTAATTGAAGGAGGAATATGTCTTTATTATAGTACAAGTTCATAGGCAATTTCACTATATAAAGTAAAAGCCTGAACATTCTAAAGAAATTGATAACATTCTGCCTCTATAGTGTGGTTTACAGTTTTAAAATGCATTAATGAGAAAAGATTTAACTTAAATTGCACAGGGACTAAAAGTTAAATGTTACTATGTATTGTATGTTTATATTTTGTATGGATCATACAGTATTAGTTCTAGAGCAATGTTTGTCAACCCATGCCTATCAAAGTACCTTGTAACCTTGCCAGAGAAGGCAAATTTAATACATACCGACCCGAGAAGAGCATGGTGCTGCTCACAGTATGTTATTGTGTAATTTATTGCTTATGGGCATGTGAAGATTAGAGGCCATTGCTCTAGAGCGAGAGAGATTAGCACCAGCACTTCGTGTACCCAACTGAGCCATGCTGACTGTGTCAGCCAGTATTTTTAATGTAGATATGCTTCAGGCTGAAGTCTGATTTTAATGAAACCATTTTTTCTAGAAGCAATTTTTAAAGTAATTATCTTTGTATGAAAGGACTGATGTGGCTTACCCTGTCGTGGGGCCACTCTGTTCAGCTGCTCTAGCATCCCACCCAAAAGAAACACAGCCAGTGCTCTTTGCTGCGTTGCAACTGCTTACTACACTTTAAACACATAGCATTAATCATTTCATCCTCCATGTTAGGACTTCTTAACCTTAAAAGAAATACCAGAATGGTGTGGAATATGTGTAATATGCACTTGGGACTTTAAAGTATATAATTTTATTTTACAGAAGTGATGTTTGAAATTTTTATGGCAGAAGCTGGGAAGGAGAGATGCTTAGTCTCGTAGAGTGAAATGCCAGTGTTAGAAGCATGGGCTCTCTGTAGCTAGAGAATATTCAATGCCTGTAGTAGACTTGGAATTTCAATACACTGCGTCCTTCTGTAGAGGCACTTACCCTCATCCCTGTGTGTTACACTGAACTTAATATGCTGACTTCAATTTCTGAAGTGTTGCAGTGTTAATAGATGGTTCCACCACTCTGTCTGTCTCCCCCCTCCCTGCCAAACCCGCACTGCAGTACTGGGGCAAAGGTCCTCTCTGCAAAGAAACCACTCGCGCTGTTTTATTTCACTTGGTGTTTATTGACACAAGTATAAAAGCAAAGTATTTTTGATCCTGTCAAAACATGCTAATTTTGCCATGTTAAACCAAGATACAGAATCTTTACTCCTGCAAAATGGCATAGGAATAATCCTTTTTGCTGCTGTATATTGCCACTGCTGAGGGTAAAGTACTATCAGAGCACATTCTCTAACTGTAGAGTTCATAACCAACGGAAGAACTGTACTCTGAAATCTTACATTTGCATGTTTGTTATGTTTCCGGCATTAATTTCAAAGAAAAACAGAAGATGGTAAGCTGTATGTAGCTAATGGTACTTGCAAGTGTATAAAACATGCTAATTCATAGATCTTAGAGGTAAGAGCACTTTTGCATTAATGTGATGTAGAACTTAGTGCAACACTGAAAAATATAAATAAATGAATTCATGTTTGTAAATTTCTTGGATAATTTCTTTCAGTTTCTTTCCATTTTCTTTTCACTTCTGAAAGCTGTTTCAGTTTTCCAAGAATCTCCACAGTCGTATACTTCTTTTAAAGAATCTTCATGGAAGAACTAGGTCGAGCTTCCATTGAAATATATGCCACCAGCTGGAGCTTCTCTTGGCTTTCAACATTGGTTCAGCATGACTTGTGCAGAAAAATGGGATAAAGGTCTTTAACTTTACAATTTGCTCTTTATTTTTGTTATGGACTACAGAGTTCTGACATTAGAAAAGTTTTCATTTTTCTAAGAAAACAGGAGTTGATACTAGTAATTGTTACGAAATACAACGCTGACTGAATTCAGAGACAGAATCTATAGAACTGACACCCAGAAATGGAGAGTTGGGTGATAACCAAATGTCTCAGTGTGAATCTTGATTGTGACCTACAGTGTGAAAATGGGCTGAAAGAGGTAGTTTCCTTCTGTGATCAGTTCAGGTGATTGTCATTTGCATTGGTATAAATCAATGTTAAAATCAGGCCATTATAAACACCTGAACAAGCTGGGCCTGACAGAGAGGAGATGACTCAAACAATCCAAAAGGCAAAATGCAGGGAATAACTTGGCTATCTTAGTCTGTAAAATGGAAATCTTAAAAAATAATTCTCTCCTCTTTTGACCTTTTTAACATGTGCATCACGTTACGTTGTGAAGTGAGAAACCTGAGCTACATCACCAGGTGAAAGATGACCTCGTCCTCTGCAGTGACGGGCAGGTTGAAATAGGAGCAGGGGGCTTGAGCAATCTCATGGGAAGCATCATCAAAGCTCGAATTTATGCAGTGATGGGGAGGAAGGAGGGAGAGAAGGGAGCTTTGTGAAAAAGGAGCAGCAGGTTAGTGCCGTGGGTTACTGGCAGGTCCTTCCGTCGGCACCTCTACACAACTGCTGGGCATGTCCCTGGCTGCACCTTACTTCACAATGGATGAGCGTGTCCCTGGCTACACCTTCACAATGGATGGGCGTGTTCCTGGGCTCCCAGCACAGCGCCCACTCCAGATAAGCTCAGACACCTTGAGGACTTACCTGGGTGGTGTCAGGTTCCTGGTGGAACTGAAATTTCAGACTCCTCAGCAGGCTGTGGGCTAATAGCAACCCTGCCAGCTGAAAATATCTGTAGACGACATTTTGTGCTTAGCTGAATAAGCAATGAAGCAAGTGTTCATTTTTTTCTACCTCCTGGTGGAGGTCGGTATCTTATGCAAGACTACAGAGGCATTTGCTGTGAGGGCCTCTGTAAGTTTATTCTATTTCAACAGCACTAGCAACAAGTCTGTGTCCGAGCAGTGCGATTGTGGCCTGTATGGATCACATTCACCTCTGCTTAGTGCTCGGGGGCTTCTGGCCATTCCTAAAGCTGCTGATTTTCAAGCCTGCAACGCAAATACTGAGTTCACCATCAGAGAATCTCCGTGGATAGCGCTGATTGAAAGAGGCAATTGCAGTTTTGCTAAAAAAATCAATGTGGCAGCCAGACAGGGTGCAGCAGCAGCTGTGATCTACAACTCGCGGGACAAAGGCAGCAGCACTGTCCTGATGTCACATATCGGTGAGTATCACAGCATGAAGCGCTCCAACCTGATTATTTCTCTGGGGTTTGGTCCAGGACAGCACAGCTGGCCTATAAGGTAGAAGTTCTGTTTGTGGATGATTGTTGCTTCAATCCAGAAATTCAATGGGGGGGAAAAAAAAAAGTATTCCACAATTCAAGTCTTGACTTCAGTGCTTAGTAAGAAATACTCTGCTGTTATGTTCTGAGCTTGGTACAGTGTGGCCAGACTGGTGAATCTCTGAAGTTAGTATCATTTTTCACTTGTACAGCATGCAAATTATTTTAGACAGTGATATGGAGAAACCCATACTGTCTGCTTTGAAAGTACTAGTTTACTTTTTGTGATTAGACACAAACGAACCTATAGGTGTCTGCAGCGTAGGTATATGCTTTGCAGATTGCAAGCCAGATCTTGCTGCACCTATTTTTTTTTTTTCTTCCCCACCCCCAAATTGTTATAATCTTTTCTGAACAGTGGCTGGTCTCCGCCTCTTCTAGGATTCCCAAATTCCTTAATGAAAGGTTAGTCAAAATGAATGTAATCGCCCATTCTGGCACTAAGCTGTGAATCTGTCATTAGGGAAGAACTGGGAAGCTACATGTGATACTGCAGTGGTGGCTTTCATTTCTCTGTATGTTCCTCTAGGTCAACCTGTCTAATAAGCACTTTAATACAAAGCATACGTGTTCATAGCTAATTTCGTGAAATATACTTTGGTGGAGCTGCACTAGGAATTCTTTGCCTTGTCTGATTTTGTGAGCAAATTGAGTGATTTTTAATCTGGAGATGAGGCAGCATTTTACTGACCTATCCCGGTGCTGGTTTGGGTTGCTCCTTCAGGAAGTTAGCTGTGGAGCCCGTACCTGGGCAGTTCCCAGGTGTCAAACCCCCCAGCTGTGGAGCCAACTGGCTCAGGACTGCCCTTACCGACCTGTAGCAGCATCACGGGTGCTTTACCAGTCTAACTGTTGTGTGAGGCTCAGCTCAAAAGAAAAAAAACAAAAACAAGCTATTGCACAACATAATAAAAAATGTGCTGTGCAGCCCTGAAAGTGCAGTGACTTGTACAACGCAGCCAGTTTTGACTCTCCAGATACCATGACAGAGCCAGTGTTTGCAAACAGAGCTTAAATGTTTTACTGGAAATGTGTAGCCAATAAACCAAAGCTTTTGTTCTACCTCTGGAGAAAGTAACTTAGACTTCACGGCCACCATGTCAAAATTCAGATTAACTTGCTTTTTAAATTTGGGTTTGGAGCATGCCAGCTCATACTAACACTAGGTGGATAAAGAAAGAATTGGCTCTATGTAGCTGTGAAGTTGGTGACAGCTGCGTTTCTTGTGAGTGGTGGTGGGCCCAGCTGGCCCAAGGTGTGAGCACAGCCAGAGCAGGGCTGCCTGTTTCCCCGGAAATCAGTGGAGGAGAATGGGATGGAACCTTGTTTAGACATGCTGGGTAACTAGGATGTCAGAAACACAAGTTAGATTAGACTCCAGAAATAAGTATTTAGGATGAGCTCTGAAAGCAGACCTTAATTTTTCAGATTTATTTTTTAAAACTAAAGAGATTTTTTAAATCTTAAAAGCAACACGTGTATCACTCAAGAGTGTATTTCCTGAAACATGAAGTTCCATCTTTCTTAATTCAGTTTTCTCAAAGACAAACTGATTTTTTTTTTTTAATAGGACTGTTTTCTATAGTCATCCTACAGGACTGAAGTGGATATTATGATCTATTTGGTGGCTAAGAGGGTTTATAAAACAGTCCAGTAGTCACATGCATTAAACACAGTGAGGGCAAAATACTTCAGTGAGATGAGCTCTTCGTCTAATCAGTATAAAAGGAGCATCTTCCCTCTGTATTTCCTCAGTGCAAAGCATGGAGCTCTACGTTCTTCAGGTAAAACCAAAGAAGCATGGGAGAGTGGCAGTCACTGCACACAGCGCTTAGAGCAAAAGAGTGCTTGGAGATTATTTTTTTTACAGTAGAGTTGTTCACAAGTCTGGGGAAAGAACTCTGCTATTTGGGCTGGAATCTGCCAATGGTGGCATCGCCCAGAGAGGTCTGAGGAGACTTGGGGATTAATCCTCTCTGTCCTTTGGGTAGAGGACCTTTGGAGATGAGATGCCCTGTTGGTGAAGCAGCAAGAGGAAAATCTGCCCTGCTGCTGCCAGCAATCTGCGAGCTGCTCATCACACAAGGAGCAGCAGCCTCCGGGGTTATCAGCCGGCTCTCGGCTGGGGCCAGCCCTGACACCTTCAGTTATCGTCCGCATGGCACTGCTACCATGCTGGGCTATAGGAATCCCATCACCTTGGTTAGTTATTAGGCCTTGGCCACAGTTTCATAGAATCATTGAATACCAGGCTGGAAGGGACCTCAAGGATCATCTGGTCTGACCTTTCTTGGCAAAAGTACAGTCTAGACAAGTGTCCAATGTTGGGGAAAACTGCCGTTGTTTCCTGCAGTCTTCCTCTGTTCCTGCTGACTTTAACATAAAATCAGTAGAACTTTCTAGCCAACCTTACTTCTGTTACAATGTGTGTTTCACATTGTAAAGCACCTGCTCAGTCTTAGGGCAATGAAATAGTTTGTTCTGGGCAAAGTCCAGGTCTGCAGGAAATCTTGGTAGTTTAAAGTTGCTGGGAAGGAACAGAGATAAACTCCCCTCTTGGGAAGGAACAAAGATAAAAAGCTCCCCTTTTGGTGACTCCTCCCTCATCCTCTACCACAGTTCCTTTTACCTGTCATCAGTTTTACCTGTTATTGGGTATTGGTTCTTTGTTACACACACACACAAGATAAAACTGATACATTAATAGCCTTTACTGTGGAAAATTTTAGAGGTCAAGATATACTAGTAACAACTTTCCCATTCCTCTCCGATTACACAAATCACTGGTGGGAAAATGCTCTACTTTAATCTGAAAGATTTTCTGTAGGTGTTTGTGTCTTATTTGCATGAAGTTAGGCTGATCCAACGACACAGAGACTAAGCTTTTGTTGGAAGAAAAATGGCTCTTTTTCGTAGTTCCAGCACTTGATTTTCTCTGGAAAGGAAATGGAATATGCATCTGTAATAACATTTTTCCAGCACCTGTCCTTGAAACAAATGGAAATTTCAGGAATTGTCAAGTTTTTGAAACATAGCCGAATTTAAACAAGGTATTTTGGGGCTCCTTTTTAAGTAACAAATACTAGACCACAGATGGTAGCAGAGTAATGGTGGTCTGCTAAGTCACAAAGTAGCTGGTTTGGGCCCATGTGAGCTGGGCTGGCACTGGCCGGTGGAGGGCTCTATCCTCTTGTCACTGTGATTTTTTTTTTTTTTTTTTCCTTATTTCCAGTTCATTTACATGAGAAAATAGGAGACTGGAGATAGGAGCATTTAAAAAAAAA